AAAAAAAAAGAGATGCCTTAAGCGAGGGCAATAGAATACAAAGAAAATATGAGTTTTTTGTCTTTTTATAGTTAATAATTTAATGGATTTTTTGGGTTGGGGAAAAATGATTAAAGCAAAAGAGGGGAAGCTATTTTTTGGTTTTAGTTGTTGTTTTAGCATTTAGCATTATACATACATATTTGATGAAGTCCAAAAATTGACTGAATCTTCGGTAAAATGTTCTCAGATAAGTCCTTGACTGTGTTTTCCCTAAATGCAGCAGCTAATGAATAATGACATGCGCGATCGGCACAAAGCGACTCTGCATATTCCGCCGGTGTTCCATCCTTTCTTCTCTCTCTTCCCTACCTGCTCTTCGTACTCGTTTTGTTTGACCCTTCTGTTTGACTTCATTACCTCCTAAACATAAAGCTCAACTTGAAAAACACATTTTGAGCTCCTTGCTATAAACATAACTTTTTGCAGCAGCCGTAGAACAGTGTTTGTTAAATGGCTTGAAAAGGCGTTTATTGGGATTGTTTGGTGCTCGTTCAACATTTGCGTTGGTACATAACATCTCAAAGTATTGTCCACAGGCATCTGAAATCCTAAATTTGGTCACTGAGGCAGAAAAGGATGAAAGCTTGTAAGTGAAGAAAACCTTATTACATAAACACGCATAAAAAAAACAACCCTTGGACACGAAGAAATTTTCGCAACAAATAATGCTATTAATTGTAGTGTCCGTTCTCTTTTTTGTCATCTGTTTGCCTTTTCTCTTTATCATTTGCTTGTAAAAAAAAAGTTGTTTCTGAATGCATTTTTTTCCCGACACAATACATCATTGTTCCGAACAGAATTGGTTAATTATTCCATTCACACGAATTTTTATTTCTGCATTTATTAGTTACAATAAGATAATGTTAATTACACTTTAAACCAGCTTTTTTGCAATTTTTAATGACTGGCACCAGTTTTTCGCATGTTTCTCTCTTCTTGAGTTTTTAGGAATACATCAGTAAACTTTTTTTGGATACGCATAGCACTAGCGTCACGAAATTTACCACCGGTACTGGAGTTTATACATACTTCATCACAGTTAGTTTTTTTTATTCTTTTTTCTGAGTCCATTAACGTTAATACAAAGTTAACGACAGAAAACAACTCTGTTTAATGGATGTTTATATTCAGATGCAAAAAATATTACGAGAAAACAGCGCTAATGCTGGATGCAGTGAAGGGAGGTGTTGTTGCGGCATTGCTTGGTTTGTTTCTCTTGAATCACTTTGTCCTTTTCATTGCGCGTCTAGATTTCTTTTAATTATTATAAACATTGGTGTTGTTGGTGGTGCTATTGAATAGGCGGTAGCAGCAAAACGAATAATATATAATCTGATTTACTGGAATTACTGCTATTATTACTATTATTATAACTGTTATCAGCTGTTCGCTGTAAAAGTGTAAATTGAAATATGTCTGCAGTTGGACCATGCGAATTCAGTTATTCGGTAAGTATTCGGCCGGAAGAATGTTGGTCTGATGATCCGACAGCCGATGAATTGGTACAACGTCACCGGATGCATTCAATATGTTCATCACCTGTTCGTTCGCCACGAAGACCACCGTTATCGGTAAACTTCAAGGGCACTGACTTTTACTCTTAAAATGAATAAGTAAATGAACGAATTGGAAGGAACTGCTTGTAATTAGGTGAAAAGGTTTTTCTTTGGTTGCAGGTTCTTAAAAGTGGAAGTAGTATTGTGAATAATGTTACGAGCTGTAATACACCGATGTGTATTTTTGGACGTGATTATGTTTTTTCGCTCCACCAAAACATGAAAACGTCATTGTTATATGGCAAAAACAATGTCACCGTAACTTTATCACCTGATGGACCAACAATGAAGGGTTACTTCTCGCTACATCAGATTTCAAAAGGAAATTTAATCATCAAATGGACACCAAATCAACTGATGCATTCAAAGTAAGTATAGTTAAGAAATTTAGTAAAGGCATCTAATTCTTCACAAAACACCACACAAGGACTTTCGTAATTTAGTAAGCTTTCTTCAAATACACCCTTAGTTTAGCAGAGAATTTCAGGAAAAAATGTTGATCTTAGCCGTATAATAAAATTTCAGACAATGCTGCTTTTTTGCAAATTATTCACTTCTACTCTCTGCTCCACTGCTCCTCTTATTTGTACTTTCACGATTGCCATTTTTATTACTAACCATATGTTGCGGGTTTCAATCTTTTTCCTTTCTGGTTAATCAGTTGTGGCCTTGTGAATCAAAGAGAGAATAATTACCCTGACAAAATTGATATGGATGGATTTTAAGTTTAACTAGGCTCTATTGATATTTTCTGTTTAACGAACTGAGAAATTTATGAATATATATGAAAAGTAATACACAAGTATATAAGATATTGGGGTAAAGCAGACAAAATTTTCAATAAATTTTAAAACGAAATTTACTAAAGAGTGTACAAAGTGGAAACTGCCGCACAGCACTTTAAATATTCGTTCTCCTGCGTCTTAAAGAAGCTATCAAATGAATTATAATAGTATATTTTGCAAGGAAGAGGAAGGAAGGGAAACAAGGCGAATACGTGTCTATACAGTATCTACCCTATTTTGTCTACTTTGTAAATTTACCACAAGTCTAATAAAAACCAAAGATTTTTTCTAAATTTTTGGCGTTCAGAAACTCACCTTTACGTTTTTCTTCGTTCTCTAATTTCTTTAATTTAATTGCTTTCACTAAATTCCTTTAAAATTTGTCTCTTTCGTTACTGTGGAATCGCTATCAGCGAACGTGTTGATGACACCCTTTGTCTAGTCAAAAACAACCCCCAGAAACAAAGGATTTTTATGGCAACTGTCGATCGCTGGTTTACGAGTAAAATTGTTCAGTCGCAAATCCCCAAACACAGTATAAACTGAATACCAAAAATTGGTCAGTTTTGAGGCACTTACCTTGAAAAATTCCTTTTTATCTGTGTTTCTAACCATTATCTAACCATTATCCATGTGCCAATTTTTAACTCCACTCTATTCGTTTACCAGGGGCTGAAAACGTCCTTAAGTGTACCTGAAAGGTTTAGACTTAATTTAAAAAACCTTTTTTTGCGTTGTGCTAACATCAACAGTGACTTCTTACGATAATGAGCAAACAGAAACGGCTCAGAGTAAAATTGGAATTTCAAGAAATAATAGTGGGAAAATATAAATATTTCTTAGA